TGGAAGTAGATGTCGAGTACTTGTTGAAGTGGAAGTACTTGTTGAAGTGGGAAGTAGATGTCGAAGTACTTGTTGAAGTGAAGTAGATGTAGAAGTACGTGTTGAAGTGGAAGTACTTGTTGAAGGGAAGTTGATGTAGAAGTGATTGTTGATGTAGAAGTACTTGTGAAGTGGAAGTAGAGTAGAAGTACTTGTGATGTAGAAGTGCTTGTTGAAGTGGAAGTTGACGTCGATGTGCTTGTGATGTAGATGTAGAAGTGCTTGTTGAAGTGGAAGTAGATGTAGTAGTGCTTGTTGAAGTGGAAGTTGACGTAGATGTGCTTGTTGATGTAGATGTAGAAGTGCTTGTTGAAGTGGAAGTAGATGTAGAAGTGCTTGATGATGTAGAAGTACTTGTTGAAGTGGAAGTACTTGTTGAAGTGGAAGTAGATGTGGAAGTAGTTGTTGAAGTGGAAGTAGATGTAGAAGTGCTTGTTGATGTAGAAGTACTTGTTGGAAGTGGAAGTAGATGTAGAAGTGCTTGTTGAAGTGGAAGTAGATGTAGAAGTACTTGTTGAAGTGGAAGTAGATGTAGAAGTGCTTGTTGATGTAGAAGTACTTGTTGATGTAGAAGTACTTGTTGAAGTGGAAGTTGATGTAGATGTACTTGTTGAAGTGGAAGTAGACGTAGAAGTGCTTGTTGATGTTGAAGTACTTGTTGAAGTGGAAGTTGATGTAGATGTACTTGTTGATGTAGATGTACTTGTGAAGTGGAAGTAGATGTAGAAGGCTTGTTGATGTAGAAGTACTTGTGAAGGGAAGTAGATGTAGACGTGCTTGTGAAGTGGAAGTAGATGTAGAAGTACTTGTTGAAGTGGAAGTAGATGTAGAAGTACTTGTTGAAGTGGAAGTTGATGTAGATGTACTTGTTGAAGTGGAAGTAGACGTAGAAGTGCTTGTTGATGTAGAAGTACTTGTTGAAGTGGAAGTAGATGTAGAAGTGCTTGTTGAAGTGGAAGTAGATGTCGAAGTACTTGTTGAAGTGGAAGTAGATGTCGAAGTACTTGTTGAAGTGGAAGTTGATGTAGATGTACTTGTTGAAGTGGAAGTAGACGTAGAAGTGCTTGTTGATGTAGAAGTACTTGTTGAAGTGGAAGTAGACGTAGAAGTGCTTGTTGATGTAGAAGTACTTGTTGAAGTGGAAGTAGATGTAGAAGTGCTTGTTGATGTAGAAGTACTTGTTGAAGTGGAAGTAGATGTAGAAGTGCTTGTTGAAGTGGAAGTAGATGTCGAAGTACTTGTTGAAGTGGAAGTAGATGTCGAAGTACTTGTTGAAGTGAAGTTAGATGTAGAATGTACTTGATGGTAGAAGTACTTGTTGGAAGTGGAAGTAGATGTAGAAGTGCTTGTGATGTAGAAGTACTGTTGAAGTGGAAGTTAGATGTAGAAGTGCTGTTGATGTAGAAGTACTGTTGAAGTGGAAGTAGATGTAGAAGGCTTGTTGAAGTGGAGTAGATGTAGAAGTACTTGTTGAAGTGGAAGTCGATGTAGAAGTGCTTGTTGAAGTGGGAAGTAGATGTCGAAGTACTTGTTGAAGTGGAAGTAGATGTCGAAGTACTTGTTGAAGTGGAAGTGATGTAGATGTACTTGTTGAAGTAGAAGTACTTGTTGACGTGGAAGTAGATGTAGAAGTGCTGTTGATGTAGAAGTACTTGTTGAAGTGAAGTAGATGTAGAGTGCTTGTTGATGTAGAAGTACTTGTTGAAGTTGGAAGTAGATGTAGAAGTGCCTTGTTGATGTAGAAGTACTTGTTGAAGTGGAAGTAGATGTAGAAGTACTTGTTGAAGTGGAAGTAGATGTCGAAGTACTTGTTGAAGTGGAAGTAGATGTCGAAGTACTTGTTGAAGTGGAAGTTGATGTAGATGTACTTGTTGAAGTGGAAGTAGACGTAGAAGTGCTTGTTGATGTAGAAGTACTTGTTGAAGTGGAAGTAGACGTAGAAGTGCTTGTTGATGTAGAAGTACTTGTTGAAGTGGAAGTAGATGTAGAAGTGCTTGTTGATGTAGAAGTACTTGTTGAAGTGGAAGTAGATGTAGAAGTGCTTGTTGAAGTGGAAGTAGATGTCGAAGTACTTGTTGAAGTGGAAGTAGATGTCGAAGTACTTGTTGAAGTGGAAGTTGATGTAGAAGTGCTTGTCGATGTAGAAGTGCTTGTTGATGTAGAAGTGCTTGTTGATGTTGAAGTACTTGTTGAAGTGGAAGTAGATGTAGAAGTGCTTGTTGATGTAGAAGTGCTTGTTGATGTAGAAGTGCTTGTTGATGTAGAAGTACTTGTTGAAGTGGAAGTAGATGTAGAAGTGCTTGTTGATGTAGAAGTACTTGTTGAAGTGGAAGTAGATGTAGAAGTGCTTGTTGATGTAGTAGTACTTGTTGAAGTGGAAGTAGATGTAGAAGTGCTTGTCGATGTAGAAGTGCTTGTTGATGTAGAAGTACTTGTTGAAGTGGAAGTAGATGTAGAAGTGCTTGTTGAAGTGGAAGTAGATGTCGAAGTACTTGTTGAAGTGGAAGTAGATGTTCGAAGTACTTGTTGAAGTGGAAGTTGATGTAGAAGTGCTTGTCGATGTAGAAGTGCTTGTTGATGTAGAAGTGCTTGTTGATGTTGAAGTACTTGTTGAAGTGGAAGTAGATGTAGAAGTGCTTGTCGATGTAGAAGTGCTTGTTGATGTAGAAGTGCTTGTTGATGTAGAAGTACTTGTTGAAGTGGAAGTAGATGTAGAAGTGCTTGTTGATGTAGAAGTACTTGTTGAAGTGGAAGTAGATGTAGAAGTACTTGTTGAAGTGGAAGTTGATGTAGAAGTGCTTGTCGATGTAGAAGTGCTTGTTGATGTAGAAGTGCTTGTTGATGTTGAAGTACTTGTTGAAGTGGAAGTAGATGTAGAAGTGCTTGTTGAAGTGGAAGTAGATGTAGAAGTGCTTGTTGATGTAGAAGTACTTGTTGAAGTGGAAGTAGATGTAGAAGTGCTTGTTGATGTAGTAGTACTTGTTGAAGTGGAAGTAGATGTAGAAGTGCTTGTTGATGTAGAAGTGCTTGTTGATGTAGAAGTGCTTGTTGATGTAGAAGTACTTGTTGAAGTGGAAGTAGATGTAGAAGTGCTTGTTGATGTAGAAGTACTTGTTGAAGTGGAAGTAGATGTAGAAGTGCTTGTTGATGTAGAAGTGCTTGTTGAAGTGGAAGTTGATGTAGATGTACTTGTTGAAGTGGAAGTAGATGTAGAAGTGCTTGTTGATGTAGAAGTACTTGTTGAAGTGGAAGTAGATGTCGAAGTACTTGTTGAAGTGGAAGTAGATGTAGAAGTACTTGTTGAAGTGGAAGTAGATGTAGAAGTACTTGTTGAAGTGGAAGTAGATGTAGAAGTGCTTGTTGATGTTGAAGTGCTTGTTGAAGTGGAAGTAGATGTAGTAGTACTTGTTGATGTAGAAGTACTTGTTGAAGTTGAAGTACTTGTCGATGTAGAGGTTGTTGATGTGGAAGTAGAAGTAGACGTGCTCGTTGAAGTGGAGGTACTTGTTGACGTTGATGTAGACGTACTTGAAGTGGAAGTACTTGTTGACGTTGATGTGGTAGTAGATGTAGACGTACTAGTTGTAGTGGAAATTGTAGAGGTAGAGGTAGAAGTACTTGTTGATGAGGAAGTAGATGTAGATGTGGTTGTTGAAGTCGAAATTTTGGTTGATGTAGTTGACAAGATACATATACATTCTGAAGTAACCGTTGAAGTGGAGGTACTAGACAGTGTGGAAGTTATTGTTGACGTGGAGGTACTTCTTGTGGAAGTACTTGTCGATGTGGAAGTAGATGTCGAAGTACTTGTTGAAGTGGAAGTAGATGTAGAAGTGCTTGTTGATGTAGAAGTACTTGTTGAAGTTGAAGTACTTGTCGTTGTAGAGGTTGTTGATGTGGAAGTAGAAGTAGACGTGCTCGTTGAAGTGGAGGTACTTGTTGATGTTGATGTAGTTGTGCTTGTTGAAGTGGAAGTAGATGTAGAAGTGCTTGTTGATGTTGAAGTACTTGTTGAAGTGGAAGTGGATGTAGAAGTGCTTGTTGATGTAGAAGTACTTGTTGAAGTGGAAGTAGATGTCGAAGTACTTGTTGAAGTGGAAGTAGATGTAGAAGTACTTGTTGAAGTGGAAGTAGATGTAGAAGTACTTGTTGATGTAGAAGTACTTGTTGAAGTGGAAGTAGATGTAGAAGTGCTTGTTGATGTGGATGTGCTTGTTGAAGTGGAGGTACTTGTTGATGTTGATGTGGTGGTGGATGTAGACGTACTTGTTGTAGTGGAAGTTGTGGTAGAAGTACTTGTTGATGAGGAAGTAGATGTAGATGTACTTGTTGAAGTTGAAATTTTGGTTGATGTAGTTGACAAGATACATATACATTCTGAAGTAACCGTTGAAGTTGAGGTACTAGACAGTGTGGAAGTTGTTGTTGACGTGGAGGTACTTCTTGTGGAAGTACTTGTCGATGTGGATGTGCTCGTTGAAGTTGAAGTACTTGTTGATGTGGAAGTGCTTGTTGATGTTGAAGTAGATGTGCTTGTTGAAGTTGTGGTGGTGGTAGATGTAGAAGTAGTTGTCGATGTAGATGAAGAAGTGCTTGTTGTAGTGGAAGTACTTGTCGATGTAGATGTAGAAGTGCTTGTTGTAGTGGAAGTACTTGTTGATGTCGATGTAGATGAAGAAGTGCTTGTTGTAGTGGAAGTACTTGTTGATGTCGATGTAGATGAAGAAGTGCTTGTTGTAGTGGAAGTACTTGTCGATGTAGATGAAGAAGTGCTTGTTGTAGTGGAAGTACTTGTCGATGTAGATGTAGAAGTGCTTGTTGTAGTGGAAGTACTTGTCGATGTAGATGTAGAAGTGCTTGTTGTAGTGGAAGTACTTGTCGATGTAGATGTAGATGTAGAAGTGCTTGTTGTAGTGGATGTACTTGTTGATGTCGATGTAGATGTACTTGACGGCATGCAT